TGAATCAGATGGGAATTCATCTCATTTTAAAATAAGAAATGAAATATCCCTTTATTAGTAACTAAAAGACTGAAATTTGTATAACTCTGAAATGTGAATGTGCTTTGCACAACTGGTGTTTAATAACCATTTACTGAATACATATGTGAATGAATAAATAAACAAATAAGTGAATGAACAATAGAAACAACACATAATTGAAAGTTAGGAGACCTGAGTTGACAGGCTATTTCCTTACCTTATCAATCTCACTTAATCACTCTCCTCATATTTCAGGTGGGAATTACCTCAGCCTTACATAGAGTTTAAGATTTACAAAGCTCTTTCTCCACAATGACCACGTGAAGTACATTTCTAAAATGAGGAAACTGAGGTCCATGGTATGAAGGCCGTGGTTATGTAGGGCTATTGCCACTATACCCACAAGCAACTTGCCTCCTCAAATTCACCAGCTTCTTTACATCTAGTCCCAAGGGAGGGAAATGGGGAGACTCCCTTCCCTGGAATTTAACCCAAGACCTTCTAAATTCAGGGCTCTTGGCACTACATCAAATTATTTTTTTTTGTCTAAGTGGCCCCCATGGAAGGTCATGCCCTTATTGCTGCAGAGCTGATATTACTAAGGATATTTCTTTGGGAATTCAAGGGAAATTTAGGGACCATGAAGAAATGTTAAGGTATATTAAGACTACTTTGTCCTCAAACGCTATTTTCCATCCTACTCATCTTCTCAGTTCAGCAGATTTAGCTGTGGCCTACATTCAATAGCCTTTGCTTCTTTCTCAAAAATAAACTGATGTTGCAAGAATGAAAATTTGCCACACTGAGGATATTAAAAAAAAATGAAAGCTTCCAGCACGGTTAGCAGATCCACCTTAGAGGATTGAGAGGAGGGCATGAGAAACAACTGCCCAGAATGAGAAGGCATAGGTCTGCAACTTATCTTTCCTCAGGGAGCCCAAAGTTGACTCCAAAGTCAACTCAGGAACAGTGATTCCAAAATCACTTTGAGCAATGTTAGCCCAAATGAAGCAGGCCCATAGCTTCCCAAAGGTTTACTTTGAAAAAAAGTATCTGTTTTGAAAGACAAGTCCTGGTCTGTCAGTCACATGACCCAGTAGTCACTCTTCATATGCAATCTCTATATTCACAGAAATCCTGAAAAGCATTTATGAAAGTAAAAGCAATTATATTGCCAAAGTCACCAGAGTAGACATTTCTATTTCTATCCCCTGAATACATGAAAACAATCACCCCTTTCCTTTGGAAACTCTGAGCTATGGACAGAGATTGAGATAAACATTTATTCAGCTAGTCAAAAACACCTATATAATTACTTTTTTCCAGATACAAACATACATTCAGGGAGGCTATAGCAGTAATGTCAAAAGCCTTGTTTACCATCAGAAGATCTGAGTTCAAAACCCCACTCTATTTGTTAATTGTGCAGCCTTGGGCAAATCTTTTACCCTTTCTGGGCCTCAGGCAGTGTGGTCTGGTAGAAAGACCACTGGCTTTGAAGATAGACTGAGATTAAAATCCTTTTAAGGATCTTCACTTCCTCTGTGACCTTGAGTAAGTCCCTCAACCTCTCAGGGCCTTGGTTTCTTGATCTGTAAAATGAAGGGATTAGACTAGATGGCCTTTGAGGTCCCCCTCAGATCTAAATCAACAATCCTTTCCTTTGTCTTGATGTCTAATATATGCATATATTCCCTGACATAGATATAGATGTGGGCATATATGGGGGAAAATACATCCCATTCAGAAAAAAAAATGTCATGTTTGTTATTCACCCTTGGACATATATAATTGCAATACTTCTTTGCACCCATATATTTTATTTAGGTTCTCCAGGAAATCAGAGTCACATTTTAAGACTTTGTAGTAAATGTACTTTGAAACCTGATATGGTTAATCTACCTTCTGAAGAGGGGAAAGAAATGTTAAATTTCAACTGAAGCCTTGAGAGCTCTCCCTGCTGGAGCTGGAGGCCCGGTGGAAGGGAGGATGTCCAAGAGAGAAGTTCTGGGGCTTTGCATGCTGGGTACTCATTCTAGGATTCATGGGGAAACCATGAAAAGGATGAAACCAAAGAAGAGCATGAAATCAGAGCTGTCTGGCCAAACTAACACTAGGTCCTTCAGCCTCGGCACAGGCCACTGACACCCTTTACTGCAGTTTTCATATGGGAATGATATAATATCATGATGATGATATTAACGATAATAATGACAACAGTGATAACCATTGGCACAGTATGACATTTTTTAATTTTACCAAGTGTAATATATAATAATATAATAAACCTAATATACCATCCACATGCCATAATTTGACAGACAGTATCAACATAAGACTAAGAATTTGAAATGCTAGATTGATTTCTGTCAAACTAATACTTTGACCAACATGTATCCCATCCCTCATCACATCAACCTACCTGTTGAAATCCTTCTCCTTCAAGGTTTAACTGACTTTCCACTTCCTCTATAAAGCCTTCTCTAATGGTAATACTAACTAGCATTTATATAGTACCTACCATGGGTCAAGCACTTTACAAATATTATCTCATTTTATGTTCACAAAAACCCCAGAAGGCAGATACCGTCATTATATTCTTTTTATAATTGAGAAAACCAAGGCAAACAGAGGCTGTGACTTGCCCAAGGTCACAGAGCTAGTAAGTATCTGAGGTCAGATTTGAACTCAGGTCTTCCTGACCCCAGGACCAGCTCTCTATCCACTGGACCACCTGGCTACCTCTAATTATTTTAGTCCTAGCTGCTCCCTGATCTTTCTTGTCTACTCACCAACTGAAAGTGTCCTTTATCTCTTCCAATTATCCTTAAGCTTTTTGTCTGGATGTCTCTTTTCCCCTCTCACACTCTGCCTTAGATTATACTAATTTATCCACACATTGTGAAGATGACACTCACCCTAATTGATCACAAGCTCTTTGAAGGTAGAGATGGATGGTATCATCTCTTATCTCCGGATCCCTAGTGCCCAGTACAAGACTCTGTACATAGTAACAGCTTCACAAATACCTTGTCAAGCAAGATCAAAACCTCAAAGGCCACCTGGAGCAACCCCTTCACTTTATCAAGGAGGAAACCAAGGCCCCAGACATTCAATGACTTGCCCATTTGCTATTACAAAGACCACCCATCCTACCACTGCTTCAGTTACAATTTTTTCTGTGGTCAAAACAGATGTTTTCAATGGAAATTCTGAAATTAATTTTGCACAGTTTGATCAAGAGAAATTGGAATGTGAATTTTGCCAGTTCTTGTTTTGTTTTCGCTTTACATGCTGCAGTGTAAGTGTCCCCCAGATGTGATGTCCCACTCCTCCTTTTGGAATGAAAGTTCTAGCAGTCCTAAAAGGAGCAACACGGCCTTTATGTTGCACTTAGGAATGAAGAAACAGGAGACAAGCATCCATGGCTACAACACAAAATGCCACTGCAGAAGACTATAAGGGGAGATCATTTATTTACACAGCATTTTATAAGGTAAAACTCATTGGTAAGACTATTCAAGTTGAAGAAAGGAAACTATTAATGGCAGGAAATGTTGCATGTAAAAATATTGTTTCTGCTTTAGGCCACGCTATTGAAAGATAATTGTCATAAGGAGACTGTTATTTCTAAGTTTCGCTGCTACCTACAAAGTGTTTTATGTTAATCTGATCATTAGCCCTGACAGTGCCATTGTGATGGCCTGAGACACATGAATTTCAGGGGCCCAGAAAGTTTAGTGATTTGTTTATACCCAACACAGCTGCTCCACAGCAGATACAGGTCAGACTGCCCATGTAGGAAATTCAGGCTGATCTGAATGACAGATGTTTAAAGTTCTGTCTCTAAAAACCCTTCTAGCCTCTACTGTCTGGGATTGAATTACACATAGAAATGTCTTATTTCTGTTGAGATCAGGCTTACCCACTTCTGTCCTTATGGGGACTAGTTCAATTCATTTCAATTCTAATTTTTAAGCATCTACTCTGTGCACAGTATTAGGTACTAGAGGAGATATAATGTTTAAGTAAATCATGATCCCTGCCCTCATGGAGCCTATGATATAGAAGGGAGCTATGAGACAAGCAGAGATAACAATAATACAAAATATCAAACTCCCTTCCAATTCTAAATCTGAGACTGCAAACAATAAGCAAAATAAAGTGTTCTTTACAAAGGAAAAGTTGTTTCTAACAGGGAGGAATCATGAAAGGCATAATGAAGGACATAGCATTTGAGCTGGTCAGGTAGGAATTCAGTAGGTAAAAAGAGAATCGAGCACATTTCAGTTAGAGAGGATAGTTTTTTTAAAAAAGGCATACAGTTAAGAAAGTGTGAGAGTATTGGAAGACAGAGAGAATTCTAGTTTGACCAGAGAAAAGAGTTTATAAAAAGGAATGATATAAGATGAGGCTGGAAAAGTTGAGTGACAACATTGTGGAGGGCCTTAAGTACCAAGTTTAAAAGTGAATTTTTGCTTAGCCAGCAATAGGGAGCCTTTGAAGGGTTTTTGTTTATTTTTTTTTCAACAAAAGAGTGACATGACCAGATCAATTTGGGAAAAAAACAAAAAACAAAAAACATTAGCTTTACATCATAATCACAATCTAACTAACCTTCACCAAGGAGATGGCATAAGATAGTAGTTAGATCAGTTCATTTCTTCCTGTCTTGTTCCTGGAAAGCTAACATCACAAATTACTTATCTTGAGAATTATGGGTCAGTCATAACATCTTTGAAGAGGAAGATCAAGAGCAAAATGTATGTTACTAATTACCTGTGGGAAACCATTAGAAACTGACATCCCTTTGGGACCTTCTGTCTATCTTGGGTCATAAGGGATCTGGAATGATCCTGACTGCCCATTTGCCATGAAATGAAGAAACTAAATTGTGACCACATGCTTGACATCATCACAAATAAACCAATCCTTTCCATTAAGGAAACTAAAGGAGAGTGATATTTTCCTTGGCCATTGTAGTCCCAAACCAAGATCAATAGACCAACTTGTAGCCACAACACATCACAGCCACAGAGGGGCCAGACACTTGGTATGTGAACACACAGCTCAAATACCACTCCCTCAGATTCCATTACAAAAATAATAAAATTTGGGAGGAAGTGAGATTGGGAAACTAATGCACGTGGAAGACTCAAGACATCCTCCTATTTGTTTTTCTTTTGTTTCTAGGCCTCAAGCCAGGAAGGCCCTCTTCCCTATGGTTGCCTGGTTACCATGAGAGAACCTCGCCATGGTAACATCTGGAATAAAGGTGGGTGTGCAGAGAGCCAGGGCCAACTCAACTTGAACAGGATAGGTGAAAGGAAGGAAAATAGAACTTTTTTTTGTTCTTTCGATCATTGCCCAACCTTGAGGACAAAGGAAGGAAATATTTGAGATAAACAATAAATATGGGGAAAGGATTTTTCCACTTTTTTAAAAGGAAAATAAAAAGGATTTAGTGTTCTTACAACTCATTAACATGGGCAAGGAGTAGAAGTTATTTGGGGAGAGCCGTGGTTAGTACAGCCATTTATCCAATCTGAACCAGAAAGTGGATGTTTTCTTGACATGACACTGACTCTTAATTATCTACCCATTTTGGTAACTGCTACAAGATTAACTTAGTTCCAAGCAATATGAACAGTCGATGTAGGATAGAAAAGCTAGGGCATTGTCTCATGGAGAAACAGAACAAGGGGAATGAGGCCTGCTAACTCCTGATACCTTTGACCCTAACTTCTTTTTTTGGCCCTTTGGCTTTCTGTTGCCTAAAGAGTAAAGGCAATTGTGGTGTAAGAGAATATATACTGGATTTAAAGTCAGAATTTGGATCCTGATTCTGCCATTCCTTACCTATGTGACCTTAGGCAAGGCAGAGCTTATTTCTGGGCCTCATTTTCTATATCTATAAAGGAAAGAGATTGGATTAGATGAGTCCTAGGGGCCCTTTCCACTTTAAATCATCTGATGCTATCTATGTCCATCTCTTCTGCCTGACATTCAAGTCCCTTGGGTGAAATGACTTTTAAGATCCTTTATGTCTTAAGTCTATGATCCTAAAATCCCTCCATAATCTGATAGCATTCTATCTTTCTAGTCATATCTCATATTATCCCTGAGAATAATTAAACTACATGAGGGAATGTATTATAGTGAATAGAAAACTAGATTTTGAGTGAGGAAGACATGAAGATAGGAATCCTTCCTTACTAGCTGTGTGACCCTGGGCAAGTCACCTAACTCCCATAATTCATCATCTATAGTATAAGTATTAGATCAGTGGACCCCCATGCCCACACTATGTCATCCTGCTTTTGCTCATTCTGTCCCCTATACCAGGTTGGTTCATTCTTACCAGCTCAGTTCCACTCCTCTACTGTAAAGTCCTCCTCTCATGTCTCTTCATGCTATGAATTTAACACTGGCTTTGCCAAGGCTTTTCTATGAAAAATACAAAAACTCTACTGGGTTCTTCTAAACTGAAAAGGCTCCAAGTACAGGCCCAGTAATGGCCTATTGGCTTCTGGTCCAAGAATCAGCTTATCTTAGCACAGAGAAGCTTAACACCAGGTTAGCTACAGATACAAGATCTGTCTTCTTCATTTTGACTCTTTTTTTTTTCTTTCTTTAGCCTGGGTCTCCCTATTTCCTCCAGGTTGGAAGTGCAGGAGTCATTCATAGGCTTGAGCCCAGTATCAGCTCTCTTTAGGCAAGCTGGTAACACCCCCCTTGCACCCAAAAAAAAAAACCCTTTTCTTGGGTACTTACCATATGATTGTTAGACTTAGTACAGATAGCTGATTGACTTTTGTTTTATTGAAGCTCAGAACTCCCAAGCTCAAGTATTTCACCAGCCTTACCCTTCCCAGCAGCAGTGACAATAGAAGTGAGCCATCACACCTGGTTCCATTAGCAATTCTCAAAAACTGTTCATTAAATTACAGATTTATATCTCCATCAGTGGAGAGAATGCCCATAAGTAAAATTTTAGATCCATCAAGTGGTGACTTATGGAAGAAGTGGCCAGAAGATGGGGCAGAGATTGGGAGAGGAGGTTTCTGGTTCATAATGCATTTCTTTAGCATGATGCAGTGCAAAGAGAACTAGAACTGGGGTCAGAGAACTTGGGTTGGAGGTAGGTAGCTCAGTAGATAGAGTGCTGGACCTGTAGTCAAGAAGACCTGAGTTCAAATCTGGACTCAGACACTTACTAGCTATGTGACCCTTTGCTGATTGTATGAGCCAAAGACCTCTTGAATCCCTTGTAAGCATCATCTTAATTTGTCAATGCATAAAAATTCCCCTATTGCCACTATACAAAAATTATTTAGACCCCTATTCTGATTCCACCCTCCCTGACTCCATTGTGACTGCAGCTATGCTTAAGTTGAAGAGAAAGGAATTGAGTGGCTCAATAAGGAATCCTTCCTAGCAATTCTAGGGGAAGACACATTTAAATTCTTTCACATCCCCAAATATTTCAACACAGAGTTCTAATACATGGAGGAGCTTCTGCCTGTATGGAACTCTAAAGTTACCAAACACTTTTGCATGAATGATCTCTCATTTGATCCCTAGGACAGCCCTGTGAGGTATGCAGGATAAGGGCTATTAATTCTCTTTTATAGGTGAGCAAGCTTAGGAGACAGTGCTGAGACAAAGGCCTAGGACTTCTGACTCTCAGGCCTTGTTTCTTTTTATTGAATCTTACCTCCTACCCAGGAGCAGTCTGGGCCACTTTATCCAGGGACTAAACATTTGCCTGTTGCACCAGGCAGAGAATATGGCTGTATGAGGTAGGAGAACCTTGTTCCTACAAGAGGTAGCTCTTTGGTCAGACACCATCACAAAACTCATCACTCATTTTAGGTTGAAATTTATCTCTGTCCCACTCAGGCTGTTATATCACTGTTGATCAGAAAAATTTATCTCAAAGATGCTGAATCATGAGCTTGGCTTTAGAAAACTTGACATAATTAAATGAATTATACAATCCTCTGGGCTTCTTCTGGATCTGGACATAGACCCTAGTCACATTAGAAGCCTTGGGGTCAAAAATGATTTAGAAGTGGAAGAGGCCTTAGAACATGAAATGTTAGGGCTTGAAGGAACCTTGGAAACAGAAAGTCAAAGTTAGGAAAGACCTTAGAATGTATCAGAAGTATTGGTCATCGAGGGTCCAGTCCTAGAAATATGTACATTTGATGAGCATTGTTATGGAAGTATATGATGACATGGAATGATGGGGTCCATATCCCCATCTCAGTGCATACACAAATAAATTTTCTTTGTAACTGTTTCCTACCCACTAAATGCATGGTATTAGCTGCTAAGTCAAAACAGAGCGTGCGTACAAAGGACCCCAGTGGAAAAATCCCCATTCTCTCTTTTTTCTCCTCCTAATGTTTAAGAACAACTCCCTGACCTTTGAAGGACTGGTGAGGGTAGGGCAGGGGGGTTGGGGAAATAAGAGAAAAGGGAGCCCATGAGCACATAACCTCCTAAGCTACCCTGTATTTAGGATCTGACACCTCCATGTAGTCTGTGAAGTATGTGGTTGTTGCTTCTGTCCATGTTGTATCTATTATTTCTTGATCTGAGATGAAAGAAGATTGGAGATGGAATGACCTTGTAATCTTCAAAAGGTTAGAAAATCCAGCCTGAGGAGTAACCAGTGGGATTCAGCTCAGCAATGAATCAATCTAGTAGCTGAGACACCATGTCTTTCAGGCAGGGAGTAATTTTATCTACTGACTATGCTGCATTTTGGAAGAGAACTTTGTGGAGCAATGCTTTGTAGCAACCACTTTATGTCTGAGCTCATTCTCCCAGGGACAGGAGGGGTAGAGGGAAGATTGTGTCCCAGTTTGGTTTGATATTTCTGTTCTTGCTATGTCTTTTTAGTAAATAGCCCTTTGTAAAAGGTGATTGACATTAACTGATTAGATTGATGTTGGGGTGCTAATCAATGGTATTTATGATATAAAGGAGAAATTAACTGGCACTGGTAGTATTATTGCGAAGAATACATTGTAATGGAGTTTTAGCTGTTAACATCAGAAAGATACTCAAACCTCTTAGGAGTACCCCTAGAACCTTGAGAGGGAGACATAGCTGCCTTCTGGGGACATGACTTGCTAAGCATTGGCTAATCCCCCTGGTACAATTGTTGTTATTCCTCCTTCATTCTTGAAGAAGACCAATGACATCACAGGGGTGTTGTCCTGATTTGCACACAAAATGAATTTAAGTGAGGCAGAGCTGCTCAAAGTCAACAGCCTCACTATCTCCTCAAGAATCATAAAAGTCCAGTGGCAAGACAAAGGTCAAAAGCACTGGTGATAGCCCAGGATGCAGTTGGGTGACCTTGGCCTTTCCAAATTAAGGTCTTTCCCTGGTCTCAGTTGATCTGAGGCAATACCTATTCAATGACTAAAGGTGAGGCAAGAATTGAAACAAAAGATGGCCCAATTTACCATCACAAAGATATCAATCTGGGAGGGAAAGTCACTCAGAGAACAGAAAACAATTGCTATTTACACTCATTTTAAACCATCAAATCTAAATAATAAGGCTTGGAAGCTTTGGTTGGGACTGATACGGTTTAGGGGTTCAGGGGTCCTGGGACCCCAAAATCACAACACGATGGTCCTGTCTGAAAGAATTTGACCCAAGCCTTCTTTCAGCCAAAGACAAGATTTATTAGAACATCCATCATATTGGGCAGACTCTTAAGAAATCTGAACATTAGTAAGCAGTGGCGAGATTATAAGAATCCCAGCAGAGGCTAGATTTTAGGAATCCCAGCAGTGGCCAGATTTTAAGAATCCCAGCAGTAGCTACATTTTAAGAATCCCAGCAGTAGCTAGATTTTAAGAATCTAAACCATGGCTAGATTATAAGAATCTAAACAGTGGCTAGATTTTAGGAATCTGAGCATCTTAATGGAGACGAGATAGACCTTATATACAGAAAGCCCATGGGAGGGTCCTAGGAGTGGCCAGCTAGCTGAGGTGAACAGAACTCCTGGGACCTGGACCCGGCCAAAGGTGAATGTAGCCTAGCTAGTACTAAAGGTGGGAAATGGCCAGGGGCCGTAGGGAAATAGATTGGGTGTAGCCACAGTGAAAGGCCAGTTGATGGGATTATAGCCTCAGGCAACTGCCAGAGATTTGGCCATGTGGGAAAATCCAAGGTTTTTCCTTTCTGGGACCCAGATCCCAACCCCATCAGGACTATTATTGACCACTCAAGGAAAGCCATAGTGAT